TGGGCTCTTCTCCTCCGGGAGAAGTGGAGTGTTTACTTCGAGCGTATCTAACTTCGCGCGTATCTAACACTTTCTCCCCCTTTTGTCCGGCGGGGCTGGAGCTGGCCCAGGGGTGTGGTGTCCCCCAGGCCACCCTCGGGGCACTGCGCCGGCTCTTTTCCCAGGAAGCACGGCGAAAAAAAACAGCCTCGACGATTATTGGCGTTACACTTTGTGGTAACTGCCTGCCCCGTGCCATTTTGGAGAAAAACGCGTTAGTTTCACCTGAATGTCTCGAGACTTAATATTCTGGAAGTTCTAACCTGTAAGCAGTGGATGTGAAGCTTCCTGTTGCGGTTTGGATATCGAGGTACCTGATTTGAACACTGGGCAGTGCTGGCAGCTCTGCACTAGCCCAGTGCCCCCAGCACACAGACCTGGGAGTGGAAGGCTGGAGCCAGCTCAGCCTCCTTCTGACTCCGAGTTCTGGGGCAAGTTCAGTGTGTCTTTCTGAGCTCTGTTTTCTCAACTGCAAACCTGGTGTGGCTTTAGCTCTTTAGGGCTGCTTTAGGCCTAGTTTTAAGTGTTTTGAGGTCATCAGGCCATACACCATAGTGAATTTCTTTCCTTTAAAAAAAAATAGCATACCATAGAAGCTATAAATAGAAGATAATAGTTTTTATCTAACCACAACTTTGTGCATTGCCTAGAAAAGGCTTCTAACAGGACATAAGGATGAAGCGGTTCATGGCCATGTTAAGCAGGAATAAAGACAAGGATCCTCCACCCACCAAGCTGCTGGATCGAGCAGAAGAGCTTTGCCAGGACCTCCAGAGCTCATTCCCTAGTCTGGAGAAGCTGGTTGGGGTCATGATGGGATCCAAACACAAGATGCATTTTCTCACTAACATCCACGTTGTCCGGGCTTGCGTGCGTGTTCATGTCCGTAATGGGCAGCATGACACAGCCTGCAGACTCCTGGAGGTAGGGATGTGTTCGTTGGTTGTTCATGGAGACAAAAAGCAGTATCAGAAAAACACTACTTAGAGCTGTTAGTGCAGAGGTACCCAAACTGCAGCATGTGGAGTGTTTCCAGCTGGCATAAGGCAGTGGAAGGTGATAGGCCTGCATTGGTTGTCCTGAAACACAGGATAAAGCCTTTGCTACAGGCAGTTAGTATTAATTAGCCAAGAGAAAGAAGGTAATTGGGTGATTATGGGGTTGGTTGCAGTTTGTGAAAGCAGGATTTTGTTCTCTAGTGTGGTAGTTCTTGGACTATTTAACAGTCTTAGGGCTCAGGACATAAAAGCCTTGGGAAGTCTAGGATCAGAGGGCTTGCCGGGGTGGGAATATATGCTGGATGGCACCACTCAAGGTGAAGGATTTTGGCCTTTTCACTAGGGGAAAAGAAGGAATTAAGCAGGCAACTCCCTGTGTGCATTAGAGAAAGTACAGGGTGCCATAGGTTTGCATAATGCCACCAGCTTTGTCAATCCAATAGGAATCTCTGAGTGAGTTTATAGGGAGTTTTCTCCTTTATAGGAAGCCTGACTGACTTCCTGGAGAGGTTTGCTTATACATTGTTTTGGTTTAGTCTTGCAGGGCAGAAGAGAAGGAGCAACTGGTGCAACTTTGGTATGAGATTCACTACCAGAGGTTTATGGAGAAGTGCCGGACGGATTCTCTGACCTCACTGCAGAAATTCCGTTGTAGGAAGAGGTACTGCATCGTGGGGGAACCAGAATTGTTTTCTCTGTTGCAGTTAGCAGACACAGGGGGTACAGATGCAGAGTCTGGTTTTGCATCTCAAAATGCTGCTGCTTGCAGCTGGGTTCTTCTTTGTGTTGTGACCACTCGTGGCAATGTGAGAATATGGGTGACTCTTTTTTGGGTCCTTTTTAATCCTGTGTTCTCCTGTGTACAGGAATCCTCCACCTCTTTCCATTTGTCCTGAAGGTTTGAAGCCTCGAAACCATCCAGAAGAAGTGCGCCAGTACCTGTTCAGGTTTGCTGCAGTGGTGACAACACATCCAGACAGGACACAGCGGGTAGGGATGTGCTGCTTCCAGTCAAGTCTCCTTGTCACAGAAAAGCAGGACACTGCGATCAGGAGTTTGTAGCTGGCTTAATTCTAAATCCTTGTTTTCAGAAGCCTCAGAGGGGCTGGGATTCCTCATATTTGATCTTTGCCTAAAGGTTCCTTAAAAATTCATGAGGTTCATGCGAAGTAATTTCTTTTGCTTTGGACAAAAAGATGAGGGGCAATAAATTCCTCACTGGGTTTTTAACAGTTCTAATCTTGTAGTCATGGAGCATAGGCAGTGAAACAGCCATCACTCAGAAGAGCTCTATTACAGTGATAAATAGTTCTGACTTGAGTTATAGCCTGTATGAAATTGCACTTTGTTCACCAGAACATATTTTGTGCTGACTTATCACATTAAATTCACAGCATTTGAAAACACAATAGGCTCTGTTGATGTATGCATGGATCTGCCTTCCTTGGACAGGGACAGGTTTGTAATGGAAGTGGTGTGTGCATTAATTCAGTAATCCTTGTTGATTACTGCCTTGCAAGGTGAAGGCTTTCTGCCTCTGTGGAGCTGTTCTGTGGGGCAGGCATGCCTTGGTGAGGGCATTGTTTGGGGAGCAATGTGAAATAGCAGTTTGTGGTTTCCTTTAGCAAACAAACTGGAGGAGCAGGGTGGAATGTGTGTTGTCCAGCAACTCTTTTGAGTTTATAAATCAGTGTCCTCAATCGGATCCACATAGACTTATCGGAGACCTAGTGAGTACATGTCTCTGGGTTTGAAAGCCCTTTTGCTGGGCTGCTTTTGGAACTGAAGGGGAGAGCCTGATTATTTGGATGTGGTTTATTCTTTTCCCCTTGATTTCTCCCTACACCTGGGTTTGCAGGAGTTCTTGGCTCGGGACACGAACCTGCATCCAAATCAGGTCTCTAATTGGTTTGCAAATTATCGACGTCGTCAAAAAGCCCGTCTCCGTCAAATGGAAAAGCTCAACAACTCCTGTCCTGAGAGAGCTTTGGCTTCCCACACAAAGGAACAGCAGGATAAAGGATTCTATGCTCCACAAACTGCAGGTTTGTCTCTTCCTAATGGGCTTAGGATGTGGTCCAGAAAGCTGAAAATCAATTTGAAATTCCCTTGGGGAGGGAAGAATATTGCTTCTTCAGAACAGCATCTGTATGGATCAAGAGGATGCTGGAGGACTCTGCTTCAGTGGAGTGCCTCGTTGTTTGGCCAGAGGCTGTCACTCTGTAGGAGCAGACACTAAGGCCTATGCAAGGACAGGTGAAAAGAGATGCCTGGCTCAGAAGAGGCACCAAATGAAAGCAAATACATGGGAGGCAGCAAATTTTAGTTTTCAGGTTGTGGGATCAGGGCAGTACTTCAGGAAAACCCAGTATTTCCATGCCCCTTCACAGAATCTTAACCAAACTTCAGTCATGGGGAACAGGGAGGGTCCTGCTGCATTTGCCAAATAAGACTTGTTTCTTTGCCTTTTGGAGTAATCATTAGTGTTTTTTCACCTGCCTGGCCTGCACCCTTCGGATGGATCTTGTGTAGGCTCTGAACAAATGGAGATAACCCGCATGACTTGTGAGCCAGGGTGGGAGCAGTTGGCTGCAGATCTGTATGAGCCTCCTGAGGGAACATATTTAAAGATGCTGGAAACCAGGTGATGTATGGAAAAATCTTTATAGTGACAGTTAGAGACAAAGCAACCTTTAAACTTGTTCATGCAACTGACTTCCATGTCAGTTCCCTGGGGCCATCACTTAGGAGTCTTGACACCATAGATGGAAATGGTCCATGCCCAGTCAGAGCAGTTAATCTCCCAGATGTGGAGGGCAGGATTCAAAGGTTTAGCTGGGGTTCCCCCTCTTGGAAAAGCAGTATGTCTGGCTGATTTATTTTCTCCATCATTACAGCTTTATGCCGAGCAGTGAGCTGTATGAGGCAGGGACAAGCAGAGCTTCGTTCACCCCTTACATCACTGAACAACCTGTACCTTTTTGCACTGAGGCTGTGCTGGAACCAGGAACCTGCTTTAGCTCTGCTGTGCTGCAGCCCAGAGAGGCAGTGCACCGTGCTGTTGTCAGCCCCCAGCGGGGTGACTTTGTCCTGCGCTCTTGTGGGTGCCTTCCCTTCCCAGATGGACAGCTGGCCATGCAGCAGGCCCCATGCAGCACCGGAGGCTGGTGGGCCTCAGGTATAGAAGGTTAGTAAAACTACACCCAGATTGTTGACCTTATGTGTTTCCAAGCTTCTCTTGCCTTTGTTGTAAACACTCTTGCTCACATAGGTGGCCCTCCAATATCATGAGGAATGGGAGCTTTGGAGTTCTGCTTCCATAGTAGTTCAGTGAGAAAACCTGTTGATTTAAGGTGTTGAAACAAATTCTTACCTACTCTTTCGTTTAAACTGTAACTGTTTCCATAAGATAGTACTTTTCCAATAAGGAAATGGATGGAAAGAAGAAGAAAATCTTAGGGATTCATTTCAATAGTTCCATTGGAAGAGTCCCTTCAGGTGTTGTCTGTTTCCAGGCTTCTGGGTTTTTAATGCCTGTCATCCTTGAGAGATTGCCTAAGAAGTGACTGGGAACTTCTTAACTGTGACATAGTGCTCGTCTTTAGGCACGCATCTCACTTTCCTTTCTCCTTCCTGCTATTCTTTCTCTTTTTCTCTTTGTTTCCTTCCTGTCCAGTCTTGTTCAGCATTCCCACTTTTTCTTCTTCCTGTTCTTTAGAATAGCCTTGTTAGGATACCTAAGGTAATGTCCACCTGCTTTTGCTGTAGAGGTACAGAACAGCAAGTGCTGTGACTGCCATTCACCCAGCCTGTGGTGAATGTGGAGCCAGGAGAGGAGGAATAGCTGGGTCAGAGGTTGAGGTTTTGTTATCTGTACTTGTGTTTAATATGAGCATTTATTTCAGCAGGTGTCAGAGCTCCCTTGAGCAGAGTCCCTCAAGGTGGCTGTATTGAAGCCAGTTCAGGAAGAATCATTCAGCAGTCAGATTTAGAGGCTGAAAGCTCCATCGTTAGAGAAGAACAGCTAGGGACCCTGGAATCTATTCCCTACAGGTAAAGGGAGGGAAAGCAAAAGGCTTCTTAAAGGCAGGAATAACAATGATGCTGTGGGTCTAGCTGTGTCTTGATATACCCTGTTGAAGCGGATTGCAGAAAGAGTATAGTGATGCAACTCATTCCCAGGGCCTGATGCTCCTTGTGTCCATCATACTTTGCAGATATTTAGGTCTGTGCACTGGAAATGCTGTGTAAGTGTATAGATGTGAGCCCCTCTTCTTAAAGCAGGTTCAGCTTCTGAGCTATTTGTCTGGTTTTTCCAGAAAATCATAACCTATACTGATCCAGTGAGAGCTGATTCTGTGGGCTGGGTTGGTAGGGCCTGTGCTTAATCCTAAAATAGTTTTTGGAGATTCACAGCCTCATGACAAGTTTATTCCATAGTGCAAGCTTCCCAAATTGGAAAGACAGAAAGACAAGCACTGCCCTGTATTTCTGTTTTCCACCTGTAACAAATGTTTCAGACTTCAGGTTTTCTCTGGGACTTAAGAGAAATTTACCGAATGCAAAACAACAAAAATTCATGCTATTGCCATATGTTACACAACTTCCATAATGTTACATAAAATAAACACTGCCAAACAGACATTATGAGGTTCCTTTAATTTACTGATCTGCGAGACAGAGCAGGAGCAGCAGCCCTATTTCATAACCCTTCTGCTTGACACTGTCCAGTGTTCGTGCTAGCATGACACTGTCAATATGTCAGAGACAAGTAGAAGTTTTATTCTTGTTTTATAGATGTGGAAGCAGAGGCACAGAAATCTTTGTGGCTTGTCAAGCAACAAGGGAAGGCAGTGATTCACTGGAGATAAAGATCAGTGAAGTTTTGGCCCCGGTTCCCTGCTAAAAACATTTCTGCCTTTTACCCCTGTTTCCCAGTTGGCTTTGTGCCTTGTTCACATTCATGTCAGATTCCTTGCTCTGAATTGCTGGGGAGAGCCCAGGTCTGGGTATTGTAGACCTCAGTCTGTATTTTAGGATTCACAGTTTTAAACAGTGGCTAAAGATCATGAAAGATCAGTGAGGCTTGCTGGCAATATTTTGGCTGGATTTAAAATTGCATGTTCTGACTCTGGAGTGAGCTCATGTTTATTTTTAAAATATATGTTCTGCCAGTAGAAGAAAACTATGGTGAATGTCTCCTTGTTGGGTATGTCAGTTGTGCCAGGAATCCACACACCCTTTATCGTGTTCCTGTCAGGGACTGGTCTTACTACTTCTCTGGCACCTTCTGGTGAGGATCTAGTTATTTGAACTCTATTTGTAAACCCTGTTTAGTGGCCTTGTCCAGAACCTTGAACTCCCCAAAATGCTATGAATGCTATGGAACATCAGTCTTTAGAAGTGAGTGATGCTCAGACTGCAATTTCAGCAGTTTCATTTTGCAGTTTCTCTCTCTAGGGAGCCAGGGAACCTCATGTGGGCAGTCTTGGGTAAGATCACTGCTCAGTGAGTGACAATGAGTGAGGATCACCCGTGTTACCAGGCAGAGCCCTGTAATACTGTTTCTGATTAGAGAGGGGTATTGTGTCACCAGAGTTGTGGTGCAATGGGCATCACTCACTCAGCTGGGGAGTCATAGGCAACAGCTCAAGCTCTAAGGCAAATGAGTGTTGCTGTCCTGGAAAGACAGGGCAGTGAAGTTATCCCAGCTTTACAGGTAAGAGTAAAGCACAGAGAAATTATTTAGCCAAGGTCACTCATCTGGAGTGGACTCAGTGTTTTGCTTTCACTGCCTTGCCAGCACCTCTGGCTCTCTGCTTCCTGAGTGCAGGGATAGAGCTATGTCAGTCAAAGAACCCTTCATCTGCTTGTCTCGTTTTCAAAGGTGCTTACCTGGAAAGGACTTGGCCTGAAAACTTATGAGAACAATTCCTGTTGATTTCTTTCATGGGCTTTTTACAGCCAATCCTACGCACTTGGGCTGTATCCAAACCTCTTCTGATCTACAGGGCTGTGAGGTGGGAGTGTGAGAGGGAACCAGGCTGGAAGCTGACTGTCTCCATCTGCTCCTGCTGCCTGAGAGCAGAGTTTGATCCAGCTAGCGGACTGGAGGTCCCTGTGGGACACCAAACAGATGCTCCCCTTTACAGATAGTGGTGGTGTATCCTCACTCTGCACGTCAGGACAGGTGGGATGGAGCCAGCTAATGGTTCGTGCAGCGTGGAGCTCTCATGCCTCCCATTTCAAACAGGAAAGCACACTGAGATCTGTGGAGCAAGGCAGGCTGCACTTAGGAGCCAGTATTGATTTTGAAAATGTCAGTGCTGAGATGTTCGTGGCAGCTTATTGCTTTTGCCTGCATTTTTGGGATTACAGCTCAGAGTGCTGGGAATCCTCCTGCTGTTAGGCTCTCCCCTCTAGAGAACCCAGCACCCCAACACTGGCAGGCAGCAAGTCCCACACCCACAAAGAGAGGCTGCTTTCTGGCATGTTGTATAATTGAATTGCAGAACTTGTTGCTAAGGGCACTGTGCATGTAAGTGGGCTATGAAAAAGGATGAGACAAATTCTTGGAGAGGGGGTGGGAGAAGGAGTTGAGCCCATTTGTCATTAGGAAATGTGACTGCCTGTCACTGCCTATGACTGCTGCTGTGCTGCAGCCTCCAGCAGAGGAGTCCTGAAACTGATTGCTTGGAATCTGGGGGGCATTCCAAGGAAGGGCAACTTAACAGTTGCCCTGTTTCTCGTGCTTTTCTCCCATGGTCTCTTAGTTGGCATCTCTTGTCTGGGCCTGTATGGCCCACTGAAGCCCTGGGCTATTCCTGGTAGTGGTGTGGGCAGTGTTGTTGGATTAGGGATACTTTTGATTTGGTTATGATGAGAAAGAACATCCCATTCTCAAGTGTTGTCTCTCCTGCTTGGCCCAGTGCCCACAGACTGATCCCTGTTGAGAGGCTGGCAGAGCCCCCAGGGGAGATGTGGATGGGGAAGCAATGTCCCCAGACTCAACTGGTGACCTTGAAAAGCTGTAGTAGAATCATAA